TAACCCACTTGCCAATGTGGTATCGACTGTAAACTTGGTATACTTATGTCACACTGATGACAATACTAGATTCTATCATTAAAAATAAAAACAGATTTTTAAACAATCTTTTAACACACTTTCAATTAACTCACTCTTGTCTGTTGTTGTTGTTGAATCCTCAAATGTTGCAACTCAATGTTAACCCACTTCCCAATGTGGTATCGACTGAAAACTCGCTATCACTTGTGTCACACTGATGACAATACTAGATTCTATCATTAAAAATTGATTTTTAAACAATCTTTTTACACGCTTTTTATTAACTGTCTGTTGTTGTTGTTGAATCCTCAAATGTTGAAACTCAATGTTAACCCACTTGCCAATGTGGTATCGACTGAAAACTTGCTATACTTATGTCACACTGATGACAAAACTAGATTCTATCATTAAAAATAGATTTTTAAACAATCTTTTTACACGCTTTCAATTAACTCACTCTTGTCTGTTGTTGTTGTTGAATCCTCAAATGTTGAAACTCAATGTTAACCCACTTGCCAATGTGGTATCGACTGAAAACTTGCTATGCTTGTGTCACACTGATGACAAAACTAGATTCTATCATTAAAAATTTATTTTTAAACAATCTTTTTACACGCTTTTTATTAACTCACTCTGTCTGTTGTTGTTGTTGAATCTTCAAATGTTGAAACTCAATGTTAACCCACTTGCCAATGTGGTATCGACTGAAAACTTGCTATCACTTGTGTCACACTGATAACAAAACTAGATTCTATCATTAAAAATAGATTTTTAAACAACCTTTTTACACGCTTTTTATTAACTCACTCTGTCTGTTGTTGAATCCTCAAATGTTGAAACTCAATGTTAACCCACTTGCCAATGTGGTATCGACTGAAAACTTGCTATCACTTATGTCACATTGATGACAAAACTAGATTCCATCATTAAAAATAGATTTTTAAACAATCTTTTTACACGCTTTTTATTAACTCACTCTGTTGTTGTTGTACCCTCAAATGTTGAAACTCAATTTGTAACCCACTTGCCAATGTGGTATCGACTACAAGCTTGGTATACTTATGTCACACTGATGACAATACTAGATTCTATCATTAAAAATAGATTTTTAAACAATCTTTTTACACGCTTTCAATTAACTCACTATTGTCTGTTGTTGAATCCTCAAATGTTGAAACTCAATGTTAACCCACTTGCCAATGTGGTATCGACTGTAAACTTGGTATACTTATGTCACACTGATGACAATACTAAATTCTATCATTAAAAATAAAAACAGATTTTTAAACAATCTTTTAACACACTTTCAATTAACTCACTCTTGTCTGTTGTTGTTGTTGAATCCTCAAATGTTGCAACTCAATGTTAACCCACTTCCCAATGTGGTATCGACTGAAAACTCGCTATCACTTGTGTCACACTGATGACAATACTAGATTCTATCATTAAAAATTGATTTTTAAACAATCTTTTTACACGCTTTTTATTAACTGTCTGTTGTTGTTGTTGAATCCTCAAATGTTGAAACTCAATGTTAACCCACTTGCCAATGTGGTATCGACTGAAAACTTGCTATACTTATGTCACACTGATGACAAAACTAGATTCTATCATTAAAAATAGATTTTTAAACAATCTTTTTACACGCTTTCAATTAACTCACTCTTGTCTGTTGTTGTTGTTGAATCCTCAAATGTTGAAACTCAATGTTAACCCACTTGCCAATGTGGTATCGACTGAAAACTTGCTATGCTTGTGTCACACTGATGACAAAACTAGATTCTATCATTAAAAATTTATTTTTAAACAATCTTTTTACACGCTTTTTATTAACTCACTCTGTCTGTTGTTGTTGTTGAATCTTCAAATGTTGAAACTCAATGTTAACCCACTTGCCAATGTGGTATCGACTGAAAACTTGCTATCACTTGTGTCACACTGATAACAAAACTAGATTCTATCATTAAAAATAGATTTTTAAACAACCTTTTTACACGCTTTTTATTAACTCACTCTGTCTGTTGTTGAATCCTCAAATGTTGAAACTCAATGTTAACCCACTTGCCAATGTGGTATCGACTGAAAACTTGCTATCACTTATGTCACATTGATGACAAAACTAGATTCCATCATTAAAAATAGATTTTTAAACAATCTTTTTACACGCTTTTTATTAACTCACTCTGTTGTTGTTGTACCCTCAAATGTTGAAACTCAATTTGTAACCCACTTGCCAATGTGGTATCGACTACAAGCTTGGTATACTTATGTCACACTGATGACAATACTAGATTCTATCATTAAAAATAGATTTTTAAACAATCTTTTTACACGCTTTCAATTAACTCACTATTGTCTGTTGTTGTTGTTGAATCCTCAAATGTTGAAACTCAATGTTAACCCACTTGCCAATGTGGTATCGACTGTAAACTTGGTATACTTATGTCACACTGATGACAATACTAGATTCTATCATTAAAAATAAAAACAGATTTTTAAACAATCTTTTAACACACTTTCAATTAACTCACTCTTGTCTGTTGTTGTTGTTGAATCCTCAAATGTTGCAACTCAATGTTAACCCACTTCCCAATGTGGTATCGACTGAAAACTCGCTATCACTTGTGTCACACTGATGACAATACTAGATTCTATCATTAAAAATTGATTTTTAAACAATCTTTTTACACGCTTTTTATTAACTCTGTCTGTTGTTGTTGTTGAATCCTCAAATGTTGAAACTCAATGTTAACCCACTTGCCAATGTGGTATCGACTGAAAACTCACTATCACTTATGTCACACTGATGCCAATACTAGATTCTATCATTAAAAATAAATTTTTAAATAATCTTTTTAGACGCTTTTTATTAACTCTGTTGTTGTTGAATCCTCAAATGTTGAAACTCAATGTTAACCCACTTGCCAATGTGGTATCGACTGAAAACTCGCTATCACTTGTGTCACACTGATGACAATACTACATTCTATCATTAAAAAAAATATATTTTTTTAAACATACTTTTTTTATTATACACGTTGTTTCGGCTTGGGTCTTAACTGTCCACGCTCAGCTGACGTTGGCTGTACATCGCCACGGTTCCCCTTATGCTGTGGCAAGCTTCGCGGCCACTTCCTGGAGTCGGAGTTCTGCCATCGCCAAGTGTGCTTTTTAAAAAAAAAAAGTATTTTTTTTTTTTGCAATATTAAACTCATTTCTGTTAACGGATCTGCCAGGTGGAGTTTGGCCACGAGGCATCATCATGGTAAGACCCCGTTTCCCCTTGGTGTCTAGCACGGCGCTTATTTAGTGCCAGGTGGACGGGGGTTAACCAGCCCCCCCAACACGCACCGATCTCTATCTCCACACACAACCCCCACTACTCACACCAACACAAAGATCCCCCGTGTAGCCTGTAACAGACTGTAGGGGCAAGTGCTGTTAGCGAGCAGCACCTATGAAGGCCGGCACGGCGCACGAGGGGGTGGGTGGCCAGCACCACGCCCGACCGCCTTTGTCTCCCCAGTGCTAGCGATGTTTACTACACACCGCACCAGGTACTCATTAGAGGCCGAGTCGACCTAGGGGAGGCCCGGGACCGGTTCAAATAATCGTCACCGGCGTTGACCGTCAGCGGGAATCGAACCCGGGTCGCCAGGTTCACAGCGCAGCGTAGCGCTAACCGCTACACTACCGCTCCACCACACACATAGCCTGCACCACACGCACTCAGCCTGCACGGCACACACACGCACACACACGCAGACTCACACAGACACCCATCGACTCGTCACCACACGCAGACTTGTGGACTCACGCAGACACCCATCACCACACGCAGACTTGTAGACTCAAGCACAGACACGCAGACTCACACAGACACCCATCGACTCGTCACCACACGCAGACTTGTGGACTCACGCAGACACCCATCACCACACGCAGACTTGTAGACTCACACAGACACCTGTAGACTCATCACCACACACAGACTTGTAGACTCACACACAGACACGTAGACTCACACAGACACCCATCACCACACACAGACTTGTAGACTCACACACAGACTTGTAGACTCACACACAGACACGTAGACTCACACAGACACCCATCACCACACGCAGACTTGTAGACTCACACAGACACCTGTAGACTCATCACCACACACAGACTTGTAGACTCACACACAGACACGTAGACTCACGCAGACACCCATCACCACACGCAGACTTGTAGACTCACACAGACACCTGTAGACTCATCACCACACACAGACTTGTAGACTCACGCAGACACCCATCACCACACGCAGACTTGTAGACTCACGCACAGACATGCAGACTCACACAGACACCCATCACCACACACAGACTTGTAGACCCTCCAACAGACACATAGACTCACACAGACACGTAGACTCATAGACACCCGTAGACTCATCACCACACGCAGACTTGTAGACTCGTGCACAGACACAGACTCACAGGCACCCGTAGACTCACACAGACACCCATCACCACACGCAGACTTGTGGACTCTCGCACAGACACACAGACACCCGTAGACTCACACAGACACACGTAGACTCATCACCACACGCAGACTTGTGGACTCAAGCACAGACCTGTAGACTCGCACACACACCCATCACCACACGCAGACGTGTAGACTTGTGCACAGACACAGACTCACAGACACCCGTAGACTCATCACCACACGCAGACTCACAGACACCCGTAGACTCACACAGACACCCATCGACCCATCACCACACGCAGACTTGTAGACTCGTGCACAGACACAGACTCACAGACACCCGTAGACTCACACAGACACCCATCACCACACGCAGACTTGTAGACTCACACAGACACACGTAGACTCACACAGACACCCATCGACTCGTCACCACACGCAGACTTGTGGACTCGCGCACGGAACCGTAGACTCACATAGAGACCCATCGACTCGCACACCTTGGGACAGTCCTTGGACCAGTGCCCCTCAGAGCCGCAGCGGAAACAGACCGTGCGGCCCCCCATCCCCGGCTGGGTGCGGAGGCGGCTACGCGACAGCTGCACCGAGATCCGGCGGCCCTTAAACTCGGTCTCGTCGAGGCCTCTGATGGCCTCCAAGGCATCCTCCTCCTTGTCCATGTGCACAAATGCGTAGTCCTGGGAGCGAGAGTTCTTTGGGAGTGACGTAGAAGCGGGAGGGGGGGGGGAGCGCAAAAAAAAGGGGGGGGGGAGGGAAGAGATGTAAATGACGGGGGGGGGGGGGGGGCACGCGAATGGGGGACGAGCGACGTCGCTGAGACGTCTCAGCGACGTCTCAGCGACGTCACCGAGACGTCGCTGAGAGGCACGTCGCTGAGAGGCACGTCGCTGAGAGGCACGTCGGCGCACGGCCCACGACGCTGGCGCACACAGCGGCACGGAAATAAATGAAAACTGAAGGCTGAAGACACGCACGCTGTCACACACACACGCTGTCACACACACGCTGTCACACACACACACAGTCACACACACGCTATCACACACGCTCTATCACACACACGCTCTATCACACACACGCTCTATCACACACACACGCGCTATCACACAACAACAACCGCCATTCGCCACTAAGTGGCGGTGGCGTCACCACGACGCTTGTGCCAGGCTAGGTGCACCGTGAGGCCACGTGAAGTGTCGAACGCCCGCTGGCAGGAGGTCACGGGGCAGACCCAGGTGCCACGGGTCGACTGACTGAGATGACTGGCTGATGCACCACCTGTGCCCCCTACTGTGCCAACTCGCTGTGCTTTAGCCACCCGGCGCTCCGCTCGTTGTTGTGAGCGTCGCTCCTCCGCCCTCCGTTGTTGTTGGAGGGCGACTGCCTCCAACTGCCCAGTAGCATCCCTCACGAGCCTCCTCCACAGAGGCCGATCTTGACACCGCTGGTACCAGTCATCGGCAAGTCCACTCAGCTCCACGTCCTCCTGTACCACATCACTCCATCTCTTCTCTAGCCCGTGCCGCGCCCGCTTAGCCCCCTCGATCCGGCCAAACAAAAGCTGTTTCGGCATGCGGTGGCTGGGCATGCGGGCTACATGACCCAGCCATCGCAGCCTTCCCCGCCGGAGGAGCTCACCGATGGGACCTTGCCCAGATCTTTCAAGGATTTGTGAGCTCATCATACAATCCAGCCTGGTTAAACCCAGGATGGATCGTAGGCAGGCTAGTCTAAATGTTTCTAACCGGCGAAGATGTTCCATTAGGGGGGTCCACGTTTCGCAAGCATAGAGAAGGGAGGGAATGACCGTGGCCGAGAAGACCTGAAGCTTAGTGCGAAGCGACAGACCAGGTAGCTTCCACACAGCGTTACGCAACCGATGAAAAGATATTGCCGCTCGACTGATTCGGAGTGAGACCTCTGCTGTTAAACTGGAGCCAGTCATAAGCACACTGCCCAGGTATGGGAAACTCTCCACTCTCTCCACAACTGCCCCATCACCGATCGGGAGTTGTGGGGGTGGAGTGTCCGATGGTACAAAATACCCAGGCAGGTGCTTAGTTTTGGTGGGGCTGATGGTAAGGCCCCACCTCTTAGTGGCACGCTCCAGTCTCAGCAGCAGCGTCTCCAACTCCTCCTCTGACTGAGCAGCTATTACCAAATCATCAGCATACATAACATGGTTGAGCAATAGGGAGCCATCCCTTGACCACACCCGGGCATCGATCAGCCTCCCATTATATCTGTACCATATGGAGATTCCCCCGGTACAGCTATTGAAGGCTTCACGAACTACGTGGTCAAAATAGATGCTAAAAAATGTGGGAGCCAGAGGACATCCCTGTCGCACCCCAAGGTGTACAGGGAATGGATCTGACTCCCGGCCACATAGTTTTACCTGGGCCCGCTTACCATCATGAAGGTCCTTAATGATCTTGAGCAGAGGGTCAGGTACTCCAAAAGCACGAAGAACAACCCAGAGCCCAGGCCTACTGATGGTATCATAGGCCTTGACCAGGTCAATAAAGCAGAGATGTAGGTCTTGTTGGAATTCCCTACACCTCTGCTGTAGCAGACGGACAGAAAATATGGCATCTGTGCAGGACCGCCCTTTCCTGAAACCGCATTGGGGCTCCGCAAACCTCTCCTCAGCGTGCCTGGCAAGGCGATGCTGAATAATCCTTGCCAGGACCTTTCCCGGCACACTGAGGAGTGAGATGCCCCTGTAGTTGTTACAGTCTGTGCGGTCCCCCTTCTTAAAAAGGGGGACCACCAGGGCATCCTTCCAATCCTGCGGAACCCGTCCAGTGGTCCAGACTGTTGTTATGATGTCATATAGGGCAGTCTGTGCACAAACGCCACCCTCCCTCAGCATTTCGCTTGGGAGATCATCTCTGCCCGCTGCCTTTCCTGGTCTCAGACTCCGGATCGCCTTCAATACTTCCTCAGCAGATGGCACCTCAGCCAGCCACTCACAGGGGGTGACTTCTTCCAATATTTGAGGCACCGCAGCCTCAGCAGGGTCATCCTCACTTTGTACCACGATGTTTTCCTGGCTGAGGGATTTTCCCTCCCCCAGGACCTCACAGAAATGCTCAGCAAATCTGCAAACCTGTTCCTGGGGGTCGGAGATTGGATCACCATTTTTTCCCCTAATGATGGTAATAGGTGTGGCGCTGCAGGTTACTTTTTTGATGGAGTTAAATAGAGATTTGTGATCACGGGCCACTGAGGCAGACTCCATCTCCTCAGCAACCCGCGACCACCACCCATCCTTGCAGCGCCTCACGGCTCTCCGAACCTCCGAGCGAAGGCTGCGGTAAGCCTCCTCATTCTCTGAGGTGGGATTCTGTAGCCGATGGCAGTGGGCCTGTCGCTTTTTCTCAACCATCCTGAACACCTCCTCTGTCAGCCAGGGTCTCTGGGGAGGTCTGGACCGTGTACCCAAAGCAGCCATTGCAGCTGCATGAGTCACAGTCCTAAACCTCGCCCATTTACCCTCGACATCAGGAAGAGTCGGGGACGATGCCAATCCCAGCCGCAAGCGGTGATGAAATTCTCGCTTGCAACTTTCATCAGATAACCGAGACCAGGCCACTTTAGGTCGGAATGGGGTCCTGGGTGTACACCCACCACCGGAGTGGAAGAATGGCAGGCGCATCTTACAGGGCAGATCAGCTCCACGGTAGGTCCTGGTGTCAAGGACATGGGCTCGCATCCGCTGGTCCGTCACTATGTAGTCCAGCAGATGTTCTTGCTTGGACCCGGCATGCATCCATGATGTTGTGTGGATGCGCCGATGCCGGAACAGCGTGTTGGTAGTTACAAGCCCATGGGCTGCACAAAAATCTAGCAGCCTCCTACCGTTGTTATTGAGCTGATCTGGCCCATGCCCTCCAATCACTCCAGACCAGGTGCCAGTATCATGACCAACTCGGGCATTGAAGTCACCCAACATGATGACTCTATCCCGAGGGGGCACTTTAGCCAGCACCTGTGACAGGAGGTCATAGAAGGCATCTGACTCATCGGCTTTGCCTGCATCCCTCCACGGATGTTCGTCTTCGGTGGGGGCATAAGTAACCACCACCACCATTCCTCGCCTCCGGTTGATGGGAAGGCGAGCCCAAAGTAGCCTGGGGCTTACAGCTTCCCACACCTCACCGCCACGCTCCCACGCCCCCTTCATTCTTTTGTTCAAAAGAAGAGCCGCACCCTGTTGTTTGGCAGTCTGCTGCCCCGAGTAGAGGACTGTCCACCCCTCATGGTGGCAGGAGCCAGAGCCGGTCCACCGGACCCTCCTGAATGCCGCATAGCTCCAGGCGGTACCGGTCCAGCTCCCGACAGAGGAGTGGCAGCCTCTCCTCCGCGGTGAGCGTTCGGACATTCCACGTGGCCACCCGTAGTGGCTTTTCGTTGTTTCTGGAGGAGCCCCGAGGGTAGAGATTCAATCTCCTGGCTCCGCCAATTGGGGTTTGGCCAGGAGACGTCATAGACACACACGCGCTATCACGCACGCGCTATCACGCACACGCTATCACGCGCGCGACGACACCAAGACACATCGCCTCCATCGTCCCCCGCCCTCACCTTGACGATGTCGCACTCGGCGACGGGGCCGTACTCCTCGAACTTGGCGCGCAGCTCCAGGTTGGTGCAGTCGGCGCTCACATTGCCCACGTAGATCTTGGTGGCGCCCGCCAGGCTCACGCGGCCCAGGCCGCCCAGCGACGAGGCGCCGCCGCCGCCTCGCGGGCCGCCCCCTCGCGACGCCTCCACGTTGATCTGCACCCCGTGCAGGACGTGGCGGTTCAGGCCCCTGGGGGTGTGGAGGTAGGGGTGGTGGAGGTAGGGGTGGAGGGTGGAGGAGGTGGTGGAGGAAGAGGGGGAGGAGGAGGTGGGGGGAAGGAGGAGTGGGGGAGGAGGGGGGGGGGGGAAGGGGGTAAGGAGGAGTGGGGAAGGAGGTGGGGGGAAGGGGGTGGGGGGAAGGAGGAGGGAGCAGGAGAAAGAGGGGAAGGAGGTGGTGGGGCGAAGGAGGTGGGGGGAAGGAGGGGGTGGAGAAGGGGGTGGGGGGAAGGAGGTTGTGGGGGGAAGGAGGAGTGGGGAAGGAGGGGGTGGAGAAGGAGGAGTGGGGAAGGAGGGGGTGGAGAAGGAGGTGGGGGGAAGGAGGAGGGGGGAAGGAGGTGGGGGGAAGGAGGGGGTGGAGAAGGGAGTGGGGGGGGAAGGAGGAGGCAGGTGGTGAGGAAGGTGAGGGGGGGGGATGGTGTAGTGGTGTAATGTTGAGGCTTTGCTTTGCCATCGACTGAACTCAAGATCTCCCATTCCTGGGCACCATAAATACCGCTATAGATAGAGTCAGCATGTACTACTGTAGTGATAGCAGGTACCACCACAGTCGGTATGTACTACCGTAGTGATAGCAGGTACCACCACAGTCAGCATGTACTACTGTAGTGATAGCAGGTACCACCACAGTCGGTATGTACTACTGTAGTGATAGAAGGTACCACCACAGTCAGTATGTACTACTGTAGTGATAGCAGGTACCACCACAGTCAGTATGTACTACCGTAGTGATAGCAGGTACCACCACAGTTGGTATGCACTGCTGTAATCATAGCAGCTACCACCAGTCAGTATGCACTATGTAATCATAGCAGGTACGTCAGTATGCACTGCTGTAATCATAGCAGCTACCACCACAGTCAGTATGCACTGCTGTAGTGATAGCAGCTACCACCACAGTCAGTATGCACTGCTGTAGTAATATCAGCTACCACCACAGTCAGTATGCACTGCTGTAATCACAGCAGCTACCACCAGTCAGTATGCACTGCTGTAATCACATCAGCTACCACCACAGCCAGTATGCACTGCTGTAGTGATAGCAGCTACCACCACAGTCAGTATGCACTGCTGTAGTGATAGCAGCTACCACCAGTCAGTATGCACTGCTGTAGTGATAGCAGCTACCACCAGTCAGTATGCACTGCTGTAGTAATATCAGCTACCACCACATTCAGTATGCACTGCTGTAATCATAGCAGGTACCACCAGTATGCACTGCTGTAGTCATAGCAGGTACCACCACAGTCAGCATGTACTACCGTAGTGATAGCAGGTACCACCACAGTCAGCATGTACTACTGTAGTGATAGCAGCTACCACCACAGTCAGTATGCACTGCTGTAATCACAGCAGCTACCACCACAGTCAGTATGCACTGCTGTAATCATAGCAGGTACCACCACAGTATGCGCTGCTGTAATCATAGCAGGTACCACCACTGTCAGTATGCAATGCTGTAATCATAGCAGCTACCATCACAGTCGGTATGGACTGCTGTAATCACAGCAGCTACCACCACCACCACAGTATGCAGTGCTGTTAGATTTTTAAGAGGTTTGAAATATTTGTTTTGACCCGGGCAACGCCGGGTACTTCCCGCTAGTCTACGATAAATCCAAATACTCTTTGGATCTTTCGGCAAAGTCATCACGTGGGTATAAAATAAAATAAATCACGACGTTTCGTCCATCATCAGGTGGGTTGCGCCCGAAACGCCACGATTCATTAAATTTTCCCACCCACTACGCGATGACTTTACCGAAAGAACCAAAGAGTGTGGGATTCCTGCAGTCACGAAAGCCTCAAATCAAGATAAATATATACACACGTATGTATACGTAATCACACGTGATAATTATCAAGCCTGGCCGTTGATATCATCTTTAAGGACACGCGCACGATCGACGTTAGCGAGTCGACTTTCCCCTCGTTGCAGAAATGACAACTATCATCATCATCATTATTTAGTAACTTTTACAAAATATTTATTAACCCGATTTTGTTCAACGCCTTAGAAATGTTCCCCCTGTCAGGCGTAGCGTTATCAACCGAGTCGCACCTACACAATATATTAATACATTTACATGTTATATACATATTAATATACACGTGTATATAATATATACACGTGTATATAATATATACACATACACACGTGTGTGTGTATATGGATATATTTAAGGACACGTGAACAGTGCCGACCTTCCCCTCGTTATAATTATAGTTTTTATTATTATTATTAAACTAGCTGTACTACCTACCCGGCTTCGCCCGGGACTTCGTCACCCCAGTGGCGATGTTCACACACCACACCAGTTACTCGTTTGAGGCCGAGTCGACCAAGGGGAGGCCCAGGACCGGTAGAAATAATCGTCACCGGCGGTGGCCGTGAGCGGGAATCGAACTCGGGTCGCCGGGTTCGTAGCGCGGCGTAGCGCTAACCGCTACACTACCGCTCCCTCCCCACACACACACAGATACACAGACACACACACAGATACACAGACACACACACAGACACACACACAGATACACAGACACACCCACACAGACAGCGCGCTAACCACTACACTACCGCTCCCCCCACACACACACAGTCTAACACACACACAGATACACAGACACACACACACAGATACACAGTCACAACCACACAGACACAACCACACAGACACACACACACACAGACAGCGCGCTAACCACTACACTACCGCTCCCCCCACACACACATACAGATACACACACAGACACACACACAGTCACACACACCCACACAGACAGCGCGCTAACCACTACACTACACTGCGTTACGCTTCCACATGCGCGGGTCACGTGACAGATATGACGTCACAGCTCACTTGCCGTGCAAAATTTTGTTGCATTATTGAGCTCCCCCCCTCCAATAAAAAACTAAACATGTATTTTTATAATGTTTGCATGGTGTACAGTCTGGAAAGTAGCCACATGGCAAATTTCAAGTTTGTTGCACGTTGGGAAGTAGGCTAAACATTTTGAACAGACACGAAATCACAACTGTGCCTTTTATATAAAATGGAGATTAGGGGCGTTTCTATTGTTTAATAATTGAGTCGCACCCATTCTGTATATTAATATAATTAATAGTATAATACGTGTATATTATAAACTATATGTGTATATTATATTTACACATGTCTATATACTATTACATATAATACATACGTGTATCTTATATACTATTATATACACACTTGTATAACATTATAAACATTTTATTTAAGGCTCCTCTCACACACTCGACGTTAGCGAGTCGACTCTAACACCACTGTTATAATAATGATTGCAATAAAATTAGCGGCGTTCATTTAGTTAATGATCTACAACACATTTTACATTTGTATTGTTTTAAAATTTTTAGCTTCCATCTCGCGTTTCCAGTCAAGGCCCAGGCTTATCAGGGAGCTTAGCTTACAAAATAGATTCCATATTCTACACACATATAATTATACACATCATTATATACATGTACTACCTATATGCTTTAATACATTATATAGAAATCTATACTTTAATAAATATTATAAATGTTATTTTAGTTTCCATCTCGCGTTTCCAGTCAAGGCCCAGGCTTATCAGGGAGCTTAGCTTACAAAATAGATTCCATATTCTACACACATATAATTATACATATCATTATATACATGTACTACCTATATGCTTTAATACATTATATACAAATGTATACTTTAATAAATATTACAAATGTTATTTTAGTTTCCATCTCGCGTTTCCAGTCAAGGCCCAGGCTTATCAGGGACCTTACCTTACGAAATAGATTCCATATTATACACACATATAATTATACATATCATTATATACATGTACTACCTATATGCTTTAATACATTATATACAAATGTATAATTTAATAAATATTATAAATGTTATTTTAGTTTCCATCTCGCGTTTCCAGTCAAGGCCCAGGCTTATAAGGGACCTAGCGCACAAGATATATCCCATATTACACACAATTGTACTTACATATGATTATACACATATTGTATATGTTTATACATATTACATATAAACATATATAATACATTATTATAACATTTATTTACAAGGCTGCCGATGGACCTAACACACATTTTCCTTATACACAATTATACATATTAATATTAGATACATTGTATAAATGATTATACACATTACATAATATACACATGTATCATACAGAATTTATAGAGTATTATTATTAATTTTGTTTCCTTTACGAGTTTCCAGCCAAGGCCTAGGCTGTGGAAGGGGCCTAAGCGCGCGAAATCGATTCCTACGTGAGCGAGTTCACCGGGAATCGAATCGACCCAACCACTAACTTTTTAACAAACAAAATAAAACATTTCCTCGCCCTAACTCATCAAACGCTTTTGCGGCCGAGGTTTCATCGCAATCGCCTCGGAAACCCACACTCACAAACACCCCTCATCTTTAACCAACCGTTTAAAAAACACAACAAATCGTTCATTCCGCATCGATTCCACATCCGTTAGACGTTCGAGTCGTCGGAATCGATTGCGTCTGGTCCCCGAGGCCTACTTCAAATGGAGGCGCCGCGCTACGAACCCGGCCAACAACAACCACCGCTGACGCCGGTCCGAACCGGTTACCTGGGCCTCCCCTAGGTCGACTCGGCCTCAAACGAGTAACTGCCGTTGCAGTGCAGCCAACCATCGCTAAGCTCTCCCGAGGGGAAAGAAGACAAAGGCGGCCGGGCGTGGTGCTGGATACCCAGGCCTTTACGTGCAGCTGCTGCTGCTCGCTAACAGCACTCGCCCCCCGCCGCGCAAGTCTGCTACAGGCTACACGGGGGTGGTGGTAGTGGTGGTGGTTGTGGGGGGCCTTTGTCTCCCGAGGCCTACTAACCTAATGGCAGCCTGAGCTTCGTCCTCGCTGGGCATGTGGACGAAGGCGTAGTCTTTGATTTTCTCGCACTCGATCACGGCGCCGAACTTCTCGAACAGCTCCTGCAGCGTCTCGCTCGTCGCCTGCGAGGGCACGTTGCCGATGAAGATCTTCATGGCTGCTGTGGTTGTTGTTGTCTTAAAGTTGTGTTGGTGGTAGAGCCGCGTTCTCTGCGCGCGCGCGAGGGGTGATGAAGGCGCGAGACGCTTCTTACAAAATGGCCGTTCGGCTTCGTAGGGGGGAGGGGGCGGGAGCGGTGTGAAGGGGGAGGGGTTAGAGAGGAGGGGGAGGGTTAGAGGGGGAGGGGTTAGAGAAGGGGGATGGGTTAGAGAGGGGGGGAGCGGTGTGAAGGGGGAGGGGTTAGAGAAGGGGGATGGGTTAGAGAGGGGGGGAGGGGTTAGAGAGGGGGGGGAGGGGTTAGAGAGGGGGGAGGGGTTAGGGAGGGGGGAGCGGTGTGAAGGGAGAGGGGTTAGGGAAGGGGGGAGGGGTTAGAGAAGGGGGAGGGGTTAGAGAAGGGGGAGGGGTTAGGGAGGGGGGAGTGGTGTGAAGGGGAGGTGTTAGGGAGGGTTAGGTAGGGGTTAGGGAGGGGTTAGAGAGGGGGGAGGGTTAGGGAGGGGGGAGGGGTTAGAGAGGGGGGAGAGGTTAGGGAGGGGTTAGGGAGAGGGAGGGGTTTGGGAGGGGGAGGGGTTAGGGAGGGGGAGGGGTTAGGGAGGGGGAGGAGTTTGGGAGGGGGGAGGGGTTAGGGAGGGGGAAGGATTAGGGAGGGGTTAGGGAGGGGGAGGAGTTTGGGAGGGGTTAGGGAGGGGGAGGGGTTAGAGAGGGGGAGGGGTTAGGGAGGGGGAGGGGTTAGGAAGGGGGGAGGGGTTAGGGAGGGGTTAGGGAGGGGGGAGGGGTTAGGGAGGGGTTAGGGAGGGGGGAGGGGTTAGAGAGGGGGGAGGGGTTAGGGAGGGGGGAGGGGTTAGAGAGGGGGGAGAGGTTAGGGAGGGTTAGGGAGAGGGAGGGGTTTGGGAGGGGGAGGGGTTAGGGAGGGGGGAGGGGTTAGGGAGGGGGAGGAGTTTGGGAGGGGAGAGGGGTTAGGGAGGGGAAGGATTAGGGAGGGGGAGGGGTTAGGGAGGGGGAGGAGTTTGGGAGGGGTTAGGGAGGGGGAGGGGTTAGAGAGGGGGAGGGGTTAGGGAAGGGGTTAGGAAGGGGGGAGGGGTTAGGGAGGGGTTAGGGAGGGGGGGTTAGGAAGGGGGGAGGGGTTAGGGAGGGGGAGGGGTTAGGGAGGATGGAAGGGTTGGGGGGAGGGGTTGGGGAGAGGGGAGGGGGAGGGGTTAGGGAGGGGGAGGGGTTAGGGAGGGGGGAGGGGTTAGGGAGGATGAAAGGGTTGGGGGGAGGGGTTGGGGAGAGGGGAGGGGTTAGGGAGGGGGAGGGGTTAGGGAGGGGTGAGTGGAGGTTGGAAGGGTTGGGGGGAGGGGTTGGGGAGAGGGGCGGGGTGGGTCACCCCCTGCCCCACCCCGCCCCTCCTTTCCGGTCAATCGGTTAAACCTCTGACTGTGGAGGTAGCCGATTTGGAACATTCCTAACAGCACTTGCCCCTAGAGGTCGGCTCGGGCTATACCGGGGAGCTTTGTCTGTGTGTGTTATGGACGCTGCTACTCGCTAACAGCACTTGCCCCTAGAGGTCGGCTCAGGCTATACCGGGGAGCTTTGTCTGTGTGTGTTATGGGCGCTGCTTCTCGCTAACAGCACTTGCCCCTAGAGGTCGGCTCAGGCTATAAGGGGGAGCTTTGTCTGTGTGTGTGTTATAGGTGCTGCTACTCGCTAACAGCACTTGCCCCTAGAGGTCGGTGAAGGCTATACGGGGGAGCTTTGTCTGTGTGTGTTATAGGTGCTGCTACTCGCTAACAGCACTTGCCCCTAGAGGTCGGCTCAGGCTATAAGGGGGAGCTTTGTCTGTGTGTGGGTTATAGGCGCTGCTACTCGCTAACAGCACTTGCCCCTAGAGGTCGGTGCAGGCTATAAGGGGGAGCTTTGTCTGTGTGTGATATAGGTGCTGCTACTCGCTAACAGCACTTGCCCCTAGAGGTCGGTGAAGGCTATACGGGGCAGCTTTGTCTGTGTGTGTTATGGGCGCTGCTACTCGCTAACAGCACTTGCCCCTAGAGGTCGGCTCAGGCTATAAGGGGGAGCTTTGTCTGTGTGTATTATAGGTGCTGCTACTCGCTAACAGCACTTGCCCCTAGAGGTCGGTGCAGGCTATAAGGGGGAGCTTTGTCTGTGTGTGTTATAGGTGCTGCTACTCGCTAACAGCACTTGCCCCTAGAGGTCGGTGAAGGCTATACAGGGAGCTTTATCTGTGTGTTATAGGCGCTGCTACTCGCTAACAGCACTTGCCCCTAATTAATAGTAAGGCTATGCGGGGGATCTTTGTCTGTGTGTGTGTGTTACGGGCACGGCACGGGTTAGAGAAGAGATGGAGTGGATGAGTGGGTGGGTGGGTGAGTGGGTGGGTGAGTGGGTGGGTAGGTGAGTGGGTGGGTGAGTGGGTGGGTGGGTGAGTGGGTGGGTGGGTGAGTGGGTGGGTGACACGGGCTAGAGAAGAGATGGAGCGATGGGTGAGTGGGTGGGTGTGTGGGTGGGTGAGTGAGTGGGTGGGTGGGTGACACGGGCTAGAGAAGAGATGGAGTGATGGGTGAGTGGCACGGGCTAGAGAAGAGATGGAGTGATGTTGTACAGGAGGACGTGGAGCTGAGTGGACTTGCCGATGAGTGGTACCAGCGGTGTCAAGATCGGCCTCTGTTGAGGAGGAGGCTCGTGAAGTACGCTGCTACTGGGCAGTGCCAGGCTAGGTGCACCGTGAGGCTACGGGGCAGTTGGAGGCAGTCGCCCTCCAACAACAGCGGAGGGCGGAGGAGCGACGCTCACAACAACGAGCGGAGCGCCGGGTGGCTAAAGCACAGCAAGTTGGCACAGTAGGGGGCACAGGTGGTGTATCAGCCAGTCATCTCAGTCAGTCGACCCGTGGCACCTGCTGGGCCTGTCCCGTGACCTCCTGCACCTAGCCTGGCACAGTGGGGGGTATAGGTGGTGTATCGACCACTCATCTCAGTCAGACAACCCATGGCACCTGCTGCGTCTGCCCCATGACCTCCTGTCAGCGAGTTTTTTGACACTTCACGTGGCCTCAAAGTGCACCTAGCCTGGCACAGGCGCTGTGGTGACGTCACCGTCACTAAGTGGTGAATGGCGGTTGTCGGTATGGGTGCTACTCGCTCACAGCACTTGCCCCTGAAGTCTGCTCAGGCTATGCGGGGGAGCTTTATCTTTGTGTGCACGTGTTGTAGGTGCTGCTACTCGCTTAACATCACTTGCCCCGAACGTATGTCAAGGCTACGCGAGGAATCTTTGGCTGTGTCTGTGTGTAGATGTTATAGGTGCTACCCACTAACATCACTTGCCCCTGAAGTCTGCTGAGGCTACGCAGGGCACCTTTAATCGTGTCTTGCGTGGTGAGTGTGGTGTGGTGAGTAATTCCGCGGGGAATAATTGTCTTGGTATGTGTGTATATACACGTGTGTGTAATGTATAGACGTGTGTGTGTGTAGGTGTATGTGTGTCATGGCCGATGCTAAGAATAACCCTCGCCTCGAGGTGAAGGGAGTGGCTGTCGCAGTGGCTGGCAGAGGCGAGCCCTCGGACTCACTCGGCACACTCACACGGGGAGGGTAAGTTGTTCTAGCGACACCGCTAAGCCCGTGTTACATAGACCTCGTGTTACATAGACCTCGTGTTACATAGACCTCGTGTTACATAGACCTCGTGATACATAGACCTCGTGTTACATAGACCTCGTGTTACATAGACCTCGTGTTACATAGACCTCATGTTACATAGACCTCGTGTTACATAGACCCCGCTAAACCCGTGTTACATAGACCTCGTGTTACATAGACCTCGTGTTACATAGACCCCTGCTAAACCCGTGTTGCATAGACCTTGTGTTACATAGACCTCGTGTTACATAGACCTCGTGTTACATAGACCCCTGCTAAACCCGGGTTACATAGACCTCGTGTTACATAGACCTCGTGTTACATAGACCTCGTGTTGCATAGACCTCGTGTTACATAGACCTCGTGTTACATAGACCTCGTGATACATAGACATCTGCTAAACCCGTGTTACATAGACCTTGTGTTACATAGACCTCGTGTTACATAGACCCCTGCTAAACCCGTGTTACATAGACCTCGTGTTACATATACCTCGTGTTACATAGACCCCTGCTAAACCCGTGTTACATAGACCTCGTGTTACATAGACCTCGTGTTACATAGACCTCGTGTTACATAGATCCTGCTAAACCCGTGTTACATAGACCTTGTGTTTTATAGACCCCTTCTAAACCCGTGTTACATAGACCTGGTGTTACATAGACCCCGCTAAGCCCGTGTTACATAGACCTCGTGTTACATAGACACCAGTAAGCCCGTGTTACATAGACCTCGTGTTACATAGACCCCACTAAACCCGTGTTACATAGACCCCGTGTTACATAGACACCGCTAAACCCGTGTTACATAGACCTCATGGTACATAGACCTCGCTAAACCCGGGTTACATCGACCTCGTGTTACATAGACCTCGTGTTACATAGACCTCGTGTTACATAGACCTCGTGTTACATAGACCTCGTGTTACATAGACCCTGCTAAACCCGGGTTACATAGACCTCGTGTTACGTAGACCCCGCTAAACCCGTGTTACATAGACCTCGTGTTACATAGACCTCGTGTTACATAGACCTCGTGTTACATAGACCTCGTGTTTTATAGACACCGCTAAACCCGTGTTACATAGACCTCGTGTTACATAGACCTCGTGTTACATAGACATCTGCTAAACCCGTGTTACATAGACCTCGTGTTACATAGACCTCGTGTTACATAGACATCTGCTAAACCCGTGTTACATAGACCTCGTGTTACATAGACATCTGCTATACCCGTGTTACATAGACCTCGTGTTACATAGGCCTCGTGTTACATAGACCTCATGTTACATAGACACCTGCTAAACCCGTGTTACGTAGACCCCGTGTTACATAGACCCTGCTAAACCCGTGTTACATAGACCTCGTGTTACATAGACCCTGCTAAACCCGTGTTACAAAGACCTCGTGTTACATAGACCCTGCTAAACCCGTGTTACATAGACCTTGTGTTACATAGACCCCTGCTAAACCCGGGTTACATCGACCTCGTGTTACATAGACCTCGTGTTACATAGACCTCGTGTTACATAGACCCCTGCTAAACCCGTGTTGCATAGACCTTGTGTTACATAGACCTCGTGTTACATAGACCTCGTGTTACATAGACCCCTGCTAAACCCGGGTTACATAGACCTCGTGTTACATAGACCTCGTGTTACATAGACCTCGTGTTGCATAGACCTCGTGTTACATAGACCTCGTGTTACATAGACCTCGTGTTACATAGACATCTGCTAAACCCGTGTTACATAGACCTTGTGTTACATAGACCTCGTGTTACATAGACCCCTGCTAAACCCGTGTTACATAGACCTCGTGTTACATAGACCTCGTGTTACATAGACCCCTGCTAAACCCGTGTTACATAGACCTCGTGTTACATAGACCTCGTGTTACATAGACCTCGTGTTACATAGATCCTGCTAAACCCGTGTTACATAGACCTTGTGTTTTATAGACCCCTTCTAAACCCGTGTTACATAGACCTGGTGTTACATAGACCCCGCTAAGCCCGTGTTACATAGACCTCGTGTTACATAGACACCAGTAAGCCCGTGTTACATAGACCTCGTGTTACATAGACCCCACTAAACCCGTGTTACATAGACCCCGTGTTACATAGACACCGCTAAACCCGTGTTACATAGACCTCATGGTACATAGACCTCGCTAAACCCGGGTTACATCGACCTCGTGTTACATAGACCTCGTGTTACATAGACCTCGTGTTACATAGACCTCGTGTTACATAGACCCTGCTAAACCCGGGTTACATAGACCTCGTGTTACGTAGACCCCGCTAAACCCGTGTTACATAGACCTCGTGTTACATAGGCCTCGTGTTACATAGACCTCATGTTACATAGACACCTGCTAAACCCGTGTTACGTAGACCCCGTGTTACATAGACCCTGCTAAACCCGTGTTACATAGACCTCGTGTTACATAGACCCTGCTAAACCCGTGTTACAAAGACCTCGTGTTACATAGACCCTGCTAAACCCGTGTTACATAGACCTTGTGTTACATAGACCCCTGCTAAACCCGGGTTACATCGACCTCGTGTTACATAGACCTCGTGTTACATAGACCTCGTGTTACATAGACCCCTGCTAAACCCGTGTTGCATAGACCTTGTGTTACATAGACCTCGTGTTACATAGACCTCGTGTTACATAGACCCCTGCTAAACCCGGGTTACATAGACCTCGTGTTACATAGACCTCGTGTTACATAGACCTCGTGTTGCATAGACCTCGTGTTACATAGACCTCGTGTTACATAGACCTCGTGATACATAGACATCTGCTAAACCCGTGTTACATAGACCTTGTGTTACATAGACCTCGTGTTACATAGACCCCTGCTAAACCCGTGTTACATAGACCTCGTGTTACATATACCTCGTGTTACATAGACCCCTGCTAAACCCGTGTTACATAGACCTCGTGTTACATAGACCTCGTGTTACATAGACCTCGTGTTACATAGATCCTGCTAAACCCGTGTTACATAGACCTTGTGTTTTATAGACCCCTTCTAAACCCGTGTTACATAGACCTGGTGTTACATAGACCCCGCTAAGCCCGTGTTACATAGACCTCGTGTTACATAGACACCAGTAAGCCCGTGTTACATAGACCTCGTGTTACATAGACCCCACTAAACCCGTGTTACATAGACCCCGTGTTACATAGACACCGCTAAACCCGTGTTACATAGACCTCATGGTACATAGACCTCGCTAAACCCGGGTTACATCGACCTCGTGTTACATAGACCTCGTGTTACATAGACCTCGTGTTACATAGACCTCGTGTTACATAGACCCTGCTAAACCCGGGTTACATAGACCTCGTGTTACGTAGACCCCGCTAAACCCGTGTTACATAGACCTCGTGTTACATAGACCTCGTGTTACATAGACCTCGTGTTACATAGACCTCGTGTTTTATAGACACCGCTAAACCCGTGTTACATAGACCTCGTGTTACATAGACCTCGTGTTACATAGACATCTGCTAAACCCGTGTTACATAGACCTCGTGTTACATAGACCTCGTGTTACATAGACATCTGCTATACCCGTGTTACATAGACCTCGTGTTACATAGGCCTCGTGTTACATAGACCTCATGTTACATAGACACCTGCTAAACCCGTGTTACGTAGACCCCGTGTTACATAGACCCTGCTAAACCCGTGTTACATAGACCTCGTGTTCTATAGACCTCGTGTTACATAGACCTCGTGTTACATAGACATCTGCTAAACCCATGTTACATAGACCTCGTGTTCTATAGACACCGCTAAAACCCGTGTTACATAGACCTCGTGTTACATAGACCTCGTGTTACATAGACCTCGTGTTACATAGACATCTGCTAAACCCGTGTTACATAGACCTCGTGTTACATAGACCTCGTGTTACATAGACATCTGATAAACCTGTGTTACATAGACCTCGTGTTACATAGACCCTGCTAAGCCCGTGTTACATAGACCTCGTGTTACATAGACCCTGCTAAACCCGTGTTACATAGACCTCGTGTTACATAGACCTCGTGTTACATAGACCTCGTGTTACATAGACCTCGTGTTACATAGACCCCGCTAAACCCGTGTTACATAGACCTCGTGTTACATAGACCTCGTGTTACATAGACCTCATGTTACATAGACCTCGTGTTTTATAGACACCGCTAAACCCGTGTTACATAGACCTCGTGTTACATAGACCTCGTGTTACATAGACATCTGCTAAACCCGTGTTACATAGACCTCGTGTTACATAGACCTCGTGTTACATAGACATCTGCTAAACCCGTGTTACATAGACCTCGTGTTACATAGACATCTGCTATACCCGTGGTTACATAGACCTCGTGTTACATAGGCCTCGTGTTACATAGACCTCATGTTACATAGACACCTGCTAACCCGTGTTACGTAGACCCCGTGTTACATAGACCCTGCTAAACCCGTGTTACATAGACCTCGTGTTCTATAGACCTCGTGTTACATAGACCTCGTGTTACATAGACATCTGCTAAACCCATGTTACATAGACCTCGTGTTCTATAGACACCGCTAAAACCCGTGTTACATAGACCTCGTGTTACATAGACCTCGTGTTACATAGACCTCGTGTTACATAGACATCTGCTAAACCCGTGTTACATAGACCTCGTGTTACATAGACCTCGTTTTACATAGACATCTGCTAAACCTGTGTTACATAGACCTCGTGTTACATAGACCCTGCTAAGCCCGTGTTACATAGACCTCGTGTTACATAGACCCTGCTAAACCCGTGTTACATAGACCTCGTGTTACATAGACCTCGTGTTACATAGACCTCGTGTTACATAGACCTCGTGTTACATAGACCCCGCTAAAGCCGTGTTACATAGACCTCGTGTTACATAGACCTCGTGTTACATAGACCCTGCTAAGCCCGTGTTACATAGACCTCGTGATACATAGACCTCGTGTTACATAGACCCCGCTAAAGCCGTGTTACATAGACCTCGTGTTACATAGACCCCGCTAAAGCCGTGTTACATAGACCTCGTGTTACATAGACCTCGTGTTACATAGACCTCGTGTTACATAGACGCCCTCCCGCCCGCCCGCCCGCCCGCTCCCCCAGGCATGTCGTCCCGGGAGCCGCGGGGCCAAGGCCTACAGATCCGCTTCATCGATGGCCTGGCCCGACGGGGCGAGACCGGGCCCGTCGGGCCGAGGCCGGGGGCCCGCCAGAGTTCAGCGCCGCCGCCGCCGCCGCCGCCGTCCTACGGGGTCAACGTGAGCATCCGCGGCGTGCGGGGCGAGGCGTGCGTGGTGCTCAGCGACGCCGAGAAGCCTGCAGTAGGCCCAGGTGAGGCCCCCCCTCTGCCCTCTCCGCCGATGAAAACAGCGGCCGCGTGCAGATGTTCAGGCGCCAGATGGGTTGGCTTGGCACGAAGGCTCGCGCGACCAATGCCATCCATGACGGAGGTTTTTATTTTTGTGGTTTTAGGTCGCGTTAATATAAAAAAAAATGTGACGTCAAAACCGCGACCAGTCTACACAGCCGGCCGGTAAAGGGCTGTCACGTAAACTGAACGTGCCAACTCTTCACTTTAACAGCACGCGAATCTGGCCGTCGCCTGACGAAGCTGGTTGCGATTGCGGGGCGAAACGTCGTACTCGGATTGTGAATGTTGTGGCTTGGATCTCCAACGCACCGGTGTGCTGCACTGGTACACTACACTATAAACTACGCTACTATACACTACACTATACACTACGCTATACACTACTATACACTACTATACACTACACTATACACTACTATACACTACACTATACACTACTATACAATACACTATACACGACTATACACTACACTATACACTACGCTACTATACACTACACTATACACTACACGATACACTACTATACACTACACTATACACTACACTATACACGACTATACAATACACTATACACTACACTATACACTACACTATACACTACGCTACCATACACTACACTATACACTACTATACATGACACTATACACTACTATACACTACACTATACACTACTATACATTACACTATACACTACACTATATACTACACTATACACTACACTATATACTACACTATACACTACACTATCCACTACTATGCATGACACTATATACTACACTATAAACTACGCTACTATACACTACACTATACACTACACGATACACTACTATACACTACACTATACACTACGCTACTATACACAACACTATACACTACACGATACACTACTATACATTACACTATACACTACACTATATACTACACTATACACTACACTATACACTACACTACTATACACTATACACTACTATACACTACACTATACACTACACACTAGTGCTGTACTAGTGACGAATTGGCACGCTCTGTTCACGTGACAACCCTTAATAGTTGGCTGTGCCGGGTGGTGGCGGGTGTTAACGGCACATTTATATATTTAGGTGATCTAACTCCACAAAAACCTCTATTATGGACGCGTTCAGATGTTCAAGCAACAAATTGATCCCAGCTTTTGCACGGCATCAAGTACTGCATTAACCACACACAGTACTTGTACAAAAACATCCAAACAAACCTGCTCCAATAATGATTATATATCATCTTCTTGAGTTTTCTTTGAAACTAATTAGCCTACACCAGAGGTAGCAGTCTTCCTGATGGCCTAGGCACACTAGCGGTGTCTCACTACCCAGTGTCTCACTACTCAGTGTCTCACTACCCAGTGTCTCACTAGCAGTGTCTCACTACCCAGTGTCTCACCACCAGTGTCTCACTAGCAGTGTCTCACTACCCAGTGTCTCACTAGCAGTGTCTCACTACCCCGTGTCTGACTACCCAGTGTCTCACTACCCCATGTCTCACTAGCAGTGTCTCACTACCCAGTGTCTCACTACCCAGTGTCTCACTGCCCAGTGTCTCACTACCCAGTGTCTAACTAGCAGTGTCTCACTACCCAGTGTCTCACCACCCAGTGTCTCACTACCCAGTGTCTCGCTACCCAGTGTCTCACTAGCAGTGTCTCACTACCCAGTGTCTCACTAGCAGTGTCTCACTACCCAGTGTCTCACTACCCAGTGTCTCACTAGCAGTATCTCATTGCCCAGTGTCTCACTACCCAGTGTCTCATTGCCCAGTGTCTCACTACCCTGTGTCTCACTACCCAGTGTCTCACTACCCAGTGTCTCACTAGCAGTGTCTCACTACCCAGTGTCTCACTAGCAGTGTCTCACTACTCAGTGTCTCACTAGCAGTGTCTCACTACCCAGTGTCTCACTACCCAGTGTCTCACTAGCAGTGTCTCACTACCCAGTGTCTCACTACCAAGTGTCTCACTACCCAGTGTCTCACTACCCAGTGTCTCACTACCCTGTGTCTCACTACCCAGTGTCTCACTACCCAGTGTCTCACTACCCAGTGTCTCACTAGCGGTGTCTCACTAGCAGTGTCTCACTACCCAGTGTCTCACTACCCAGTGTCTCACTACCCAGTGTCTCACTAGCAGTGTCTCACTAGCAGTGTCTCACTACCCAGTGTCTCACTAGCAGTGTCTCACTACCCAGTGTCTCACTAGCAGTGTCTCACTACCCAGTGTCTCACTACCCAGTGTCTCACTAGCCAGTGTCTCACTACCCAGTGTCTCACTACCCAGTGTCTCACTACCCAGTGTCTCACTAGCAGTGTCTCACTACCCAGTGTCTCACTAGCCAGTGTCTCACTACCCAGTGTCTCACTACCCAGTGTCTCACTAGCAGTGTCTCACTAGCAGTGTCTCACTACCCAGTGTCTCACTAGCAGTGTCTCACTACCCAGTGTCTCACTAGCCAGTGTCTCACTACCCAGTGTCTCAATAGCCAGTGTTTCACTACCCAGTGTCTCACTAGCCAGTGTTTGACCATAGCGACCCATACAAACCCACAGATACCCGCAGAGACTCATACTCATAGAGACCCATAGAGACCCACAGAGTCCCATGCTCGTAGAGACCAATTGTAAAACTGAACACTGTTCATGTTACCTGGTCTGAGACGCCACCGAGCCACGTGGCTCTTCCATCAGAAGCAAAGTGGCCACCATAGCAGCTCAATCCAGTGGCTGACACCATCATGTGGACATTTATTGCGCCCACATTTACTCTAAAGGTGGAGGCAACAACCGGTAGCGGCAGGAGGAAAATCCAGTTACAGAGTCGCCCACGCAAGAGATAAAGGCCCTCCCCTACTCCAGGTAGCCTTCACCCGGCTGTAGGGGCAAGTGTTGTTAGTGGCGAGTGGCACCGCTGTAGGCCGGCGCTGTGGCCATGCCCGCCTGCCTTTGCCTGCCTGGTGGAGGCGATGCTTTACACGCCGGCTGTTATCCTTGGTTCTTTCGGTAAAGTCACCACCACGTAGAAGGGAAACAATAAAATAATAAAAATATAAAACAATGAAATTATTATTCTTGGTTCTTTCGGTAAAGTCACCACCGCGTAGAAGGGAAACAATAAAATGATAAAAAATATAAAACAATAAAATTATTATATTCTTAGTTTTTTCGGTAAAGTCACGTTGAAGAGAAACAACAAAATAACAAAATATATAAAACAATAAAAAATTTTCACGACGTTTCGACCATAACTCAAACGGTCATCATCAGGTGTGTCGGTTTGCATAAATTTACCTTTAAAAGGTACATTTATTTTTTTATAAAAAAACGTTGGCGTCACGCGCAGCGATTGGCAGTTTGCCCAGGACTAGTCCATCTATTTTTTTTTTTTAAAGAGGAGGGGGGAGACGAAATTTTTTATAATGTATGCTGTCTGAAAGCCACTGTAAGCGTGAACAATCAATCAAGAACTGAAATGATTTATCAAATCTTTCCAATGATTGCTAAGATAGAATCCATCTTCTCGGTTGAAATTGTCTCTGTGCTTGTATATGTGGAAGGGAAACAATAAAATAATAAAAATATAAAACAATAAAATTATTGTAAAACAATGAAATTATTATTCTTGGTTCTTTCGGTAAAGTCACCACCGCGTAGAAGGGAAACAATAAAATAATAAAAATATAAAAAATAAAATTATTGTAAAACAATGAAATTATTATTCTTGGTTCTTTCGGTAAAGTCACCACCGCATAGAAGGGAAACAATAAAATAAAAAAAATATAAAACCAAAAAATTATTGTAAAACAATGAAATTATTATCCTTGGTTCTTTCGGTAAAGTCACCACCGCGTTGAAGGGAAACAATACAATTATAAAAATATAAAACAATAAAATTATTGTAAAACAATACAATTATTATTCTTGGTTCTTTCGGTGAAGTCATCACGTAGAAGGGAAACAATAAAATAATAAAAATATAAAACAATAAAATTATTGTAAAACAATGAAATTATTATTCTTGGTTCTTTCGGTAAAGTCACCACGTAGAAGGGAAACAATAAAATAATAAAAATATAAAACAATAAAATTATTGTAAAACAATACAATTATTATTCTTGGTTCTTTCGGTAAAGTCACCACGTAGAAGGGATACAATAAAATAATAAAAATATAAAACAATAAAATTATTGTAAAACAATACAATTATTATTCTTGGTTCTTTCGGTGAAGTCACCACGTAGAAGGGAAACAATAAAATAATAAAAATATAAAACAATACAATTATTGTAAAACAATGAAATTATTATTCTTGGTTCTTTCGGTAAAGTCACCACCGCGTAGAAGGGAAACAATAAAATAATACAAATATAAAACAATACAATTATTGTAAAACAATAAAATTATTATTCCTGGTTCTTTCGGTAAAGTCACCACGTAGAAGGGAAACAATAAAATAATAACAAATAAAACACATTCCTGGTTCTTTCGGTAAAGTCACCACGTAGAAGGGAAACAATAAAATAATAACAAATAAAACACATTCCTGGTTCTTTCGGTAAAGTCACCACGTAGAAGGGAAACAATAAAATAATAACAAATATAAAAGAGTACAATTCTCACGACGTTTCGACTGCGGCACCAGGCAGCTATCATCGTCAGCTGGTGAAAACCACAGCAAGAAAATGTAACTCTTTATTATTTTATTGTTTCCCTTCTACGTGGTGACTTTACCGAAAGAACCAAGAATAATAATTTCATTGTTTTACAATAATTTTATTGTTTTATATTTTTATTATTTTATTGTTTCCCTTCTACGCGGTGGTGACTTTACCGAAAGAACCAAGAATAATAATTGTAATGTTTTACAATAATTTTATTGTTTTATATTTTTATTATTTTATTGTTTCCCTTCTACGCGGTGGTGACTTTACCGAAAGCTTTCAATCAAAACTCTGCCGGCTCTTCTCAATGTCACCGTAGCTGCGGCGGCACCGCTTTTATTCACAACGACCCCACCCTTTAAAACCTCAACCACTGTCATCTCAAAATACGATTCCGTAATTTGCTGCCAAAGGGCCTTGCACCAAGGCGACATGAACACACACACACACATCTAAATAAGGTGTAAGGTAAGATTGGGCACGCTGGGGGCGCTCTGGGCTCTCCTGGGATGCGGTGTCGCAAGCGGAAGGCCCTCATTGGTCCACTGCGTTCGCTCCGCGGGTAAATTCACTTTCGCCGCAAACAGCAACGACGGCGGCCATTTTCAAGGGGGCGGCGCCAAGGGGGAGGGGGGGGAGCGGCCATTTTAAAGGGGGCGGCGCCGAGGGCGGGCGGCCATTTTCAAGGGGGCGGCGCCAAGGGGGGGGGGGAGCGGCCATTTTAAAGGGGGCGGCGCCAAGGGGGGGGAGCGGCCATTTTAAAGGGCGCGGCGCCGAGGGCGGGCGGCCATTTTAAAGGGGGCGGCACCAAGAGGGGGGGGAGCGGCCATTTTAAAGGGGGCGGCACCAAGGGGGGAGCGGGCCATTTTCAAGGGGGCGGCGCCGAGGGCGGGCGGCCATTTTGAAGGGGGCGGCACCAAGGGGGGGGGGGGGGAGGCGGCCATTTTGAAGGGTGCGGCACCAAGGGAGGTTGGGGGGCTGCCATTTTTAAGGGGGCGGCGCCAATGGGGGACGCCATTTTAAAGAGGGCGGCACCAATGGGGGATGGCCGTTTAAAAGGGGGCGGCGCTGAGGGGGGGGGGGAGGGGCGGTGGCCATTTTAAAAGGGGGCGGCGCCAGCTGGGGCGGCCATTTAAAAGGCGCGCGGTGCTGAGGGGAGGCTGCCATTTTTCAGGAGTTGGGGAATGCCCGTTCCCAGGCTCCGCCGTTGACTGGGCCCGAGGGAGCATGGATCCCCTCACCGGCCTCTACCGGACGCCGGGATCCCGGGAATTCTACCGAGCCGGCTTCGGTCGCCCGCTGGAGACCGGCCACCGGGAATCGCCGCGCGAGAAGACGACCGGGGGCCCGGAGGGGCCGACGGCGTTTTGGAACGCGAACGGCCACTCCATCGAGAACGACCCGGGGCTCCGATTGCAGCAGCAGCAGGAGCAGCAGCAGGAGCAGCAGGAGCAGCAGCAGTCGAAAGTAAGGATGATGAGGATGAGGAGGAGGAGATCTAGGGAAGAATCGTGGAGGCGGCGTGCGTTCAATCAGGAGTCTAGGGCGGGTGAGGAGGAGGATGATGATGATGATGAGGAAGAGAGCAGGATTCTGTGCTCTTCAGTCTCGCGGTCTCTCGAAGGGCTCCACACGAGGGGAGCCTCCGCTGTGAGGTATGGCGGCGGCGGCAGCGGCGGCGGCGGCGGCGCTGACGACGACGGCCGAGGACGCGGCGAAGGCGGGAGGAGTTCGAGCAGAGGCGACGGAGGAGTTTGTGGAGGAGTTGGAGGAGTTGGAGGAGCTGTTGGAGGCGTTGGTGGATTTGGTGGAGTTGGTGGAGTTGAAGACGGTGGTGGATTTGGTGGAGTTGGTGGAGTTGGAGACGTTGATGGATTTGGTGGAGTTGGAGACGGTGGTGGAGTTGATGGAGTTGAAGACGGTGGTGGAGTTGGTGGAGTTGGTGGATCTGGTGGATTTGGTGGAGTTGATGGAGTTGGAGACGATGGTGGAGTTGATGGAGTTGAAGACGGAGGTGGATTTGGAGGCGTTGGTGGCGTCGGAGACCCGGCGACTGCGACGCGCCGCCGGCGGCGGCGGCGGCCGGCGCCATCGCAGGGCTCCGTGGCGCGGCTCGTGGAGCGGTTCGGGGGCCCGGCCGCCTCCTCGCCGCGTCGCCCGCCGCCGGCCCTCCCGCTCCGGCGAACCCGGAGCCTGCCCAGCGCCGCGCCACTCTTCAACGAGCGGAGGCAGAAGAGCCTCCCGGAGGTCCAGCGGCAGGACGATCTGAGTCGGCACCAGCAGAGGTCCGACCATCATCATCATCATCAGCGGCAGCAGCAGCAGCATCATCATCATCAGCAGCAGCAGCAGCAGCAGCGGCGGCAGCAGGAGGATCTGCATCGGCAGCGGCATTTCCGCCGCGGTCACGGAGAATGCCGCGCGTGGCGGAGCGAGGAGGAGGCGGAGGGGGTGGAGGCGGAGGAGGAGGAGGAGGAGGAGGAGGAGGAGGCAGAGGAGGAGGCGGAGGCCACGTTGGGGAGTCGACCGCTTTTTCCGCAGTGTGGGGGTCCACGCTCGGACGGCGAGGCCGGGGGCAGGAGGGGGGCGACGAGGACCCTGGGTCACGGCGGCGGGCGGGAGGAGCGGCGGGGAGGGGGGGAGGCGTGGCTGGGAGGGCACAGCGTCGGAGGTGGCCTTGGGGGAGAGGGCGCGGGCTCGAAGGTGAGAGGAGAGGCCGTTGGGACCGTTCGCTCCGCGCGCTGGTGGACTTCGTCGGCACCGCATGTAGCCGGATCGTGCTGGCCACGTGGACAGTGACGGGGCGACAAACGGTGAACACGAAATGAGGCCCGAAACGAAATCCGTTTTCAGTTCGCTGCGTTTAATCCGCCCGGCGCTCTGCTATTTTCCGGAGGGAGACCGCCTCCAGCTTGCCAGCAGCAGCGTCCTGCAGGGTCCTCCTCCTCCTCATCCTCCTCATCCACAGAGGCCGATCTTGAGACAGCAACAGCAGTGGCAGCAAGAAGAAGAAGCAGTTCTGAAGGAATTAATTTGTGGCTCTCGATGACGACGAGTGATAGGGGTAGTGATAGGGGTAGTGATAGGGGTAGTGATAGGGGTAGTGATAGGGGGTAGTGATAGGGGTAGTGATAGGGGTAGTGATGGGGGTAGTGATAGGGGTAGTGATAGGGGTAGTGATAGGAGTAGTGATAGGGGTAATGATAGGGGTAATGATAGGGGTAGTGATAGGGGTAGTGATAGGGGTAGTGTTAGGGGTAGTGATAGGGTTTGGGGTAGTGATAGGGGTAGTGATAGGGGTAGTGATAGGGGTAGTGTTAGGAGTAGTGTTAGGGGTAGTGATAGGGGTAGTGATAGGGGTAGTGATAGGGGTAGTGATAGGGGTAGTGATGGGGTAGTGATAGGGGTAGTGATAGGAGTAGTGATAGGGGTAGTGATAGGGGTAGTGATAGGGGTAGTGTTAGGGGTAGTGATAGGGGTAGTGATAGGGGTAGTGATAGGGGTAGTGATAGGGGTAGTGTTAGCGGTAGTGTAAGGGGTAGTGATAGGGGTAGTGATAGGGGTAGTGATAGGGGTAGTGATAGGGGTAGTGATAGGGGTAGTGTTAGGGGTAGTGATAGGGTTTGGGGTAGTGATAGGGGTAGTGATAGGGGTAGTGATAGGGGTAGTGATAGGGGTAGTGATAGGGGTAGTGATAGGGGTAGTGATAGGGGTAGTGATAGGGGTAGTGTTAGGAGTAGTGATAGGGTTTTGGATAGTGATAGGGGTAGTGATAGGGGTAGTGTTAGGAGTAGTGATAGGGGTAGTGATAGAAGTAGTCAAAGGGGTAGTGATAGGGGTAGTGATAGGGGTAGTGATAGGGGTAGTGATAGTGGTAGTGATAGGGGTAGTGATAGTGATAGGGGTAGTGATAGGGGTAGTGATAGGGGTAGTGATACGGGTAGTGATAGGGGTAGTGATAGGATTTGGGGTAGTGATAGGAGTAGTGATAGGGGTAATGATAGGGGTAGTGATAGTAGTGTTAGGAGTAGTGATAGGGTTTGGGGTAGTGATAGGGGTAGTGTTAGGAGTAGTGATAAGGGTAGTGTTAGGGGTAGTGATAGGGGTTGTGATAGGGGTAGTGTTAGGAGTAGTGTTAGGGGTAGTGATAGGGTTTGGGGTAGTGATGGGGGTAGTGATGGGGGTTGTCAATTTGGCTGCTCATAGCTGAGAGGCAGGCGCAGGGAGTAGCAGCAGGAGGAGGATGATGATTGACTTGGGCAAAAGCGATGGGGGTTGTCCTGAAGCGGGCTGTGATGGTGACTCTGACTGGCTTCATGAGCCGCAGTGGAAGTTCGATTCCAGTGAAGGGGGGAGCGGAGACGGGACGTAGGGATGATAACGCGACAATTTGAGTTCCTTCCGTTGTTATAAAACATCGGAGGTCGGGAGACAAAGGCGGCCGGGCGTGGGGGAGGGGGGCGTGGGTCTCCACACAGCACCCACCCCACGCGCTCTGCTGGTCTCCATAAGGTGCACCTACCTGCTAACAGCACTTGCCCCTACAGCCTGTGAGAGGCTACCCGGGGGATCTTTGTCTGTGTGCGTGTGTTATAGATGCTGCTATTCGCTGCTAAAAGCACTTCCCCTACAGCCTGTTAGAGGCTACCTGGGGGACCTTTGTGTGTGTGTGTTATAGATGCTGCTACTCGCTGCTAACAGCACTTGCCCCTACAGCCTGTTAGAGGCTACCCGGGGGATCTTTGTCTGTGTGTGTGTTATAGATGCTGCTACTCGCTGCTAACAGCACTTGCCCCAAAAGCCAGTTAGAGGCTACCCGGGGGATCTTTGTCTGTGTGTGTAGCAGATGCTGCTACTCGCTGCTAACGACACTTGCCCCTACAGCCAGTTAGAGACTACCCGGGAAATCTTTGTCTGTGTGTGTGTTATAGGTGCTGCTACTCGCTGCTAACATCACTTGCCCCTACAGCCAGTTAGAGGCTACCCGGGGGATCTTTGTCTGTGTGTGTGTTATAGATGCTGCTACTCGCTGCTAACAGGACTTGCCCCTACAGCCAGTTAGAGGCTACCCGGGGGACCTTTGTCTGTCTCTGTGTGTGTGGTATAGATGCTGCTACTCGCTGCTAACAGCACTTGCCCCTACAGCCAGTTAGAGGCTACCCGGGGGACCTTTGTCTGTCTCTGTGTGTGTGGTATAGATGCTGCTACTCGCTGCTAACAGCACTTGCCCCTACAGCCTGTTAGAGGCTACCTGGGGGATCTTTGTCTGTGTGTGTTATAGATGCTGCTACTCGCTGCTAACAGCACTTGCCCCTACAGCCAGTTAGAGGCTACCCGGGGGACCTTTGTCTGTCTCTATGTGTGTGTTATAGATGCTGCTACTCGCTGCTAACAGCACTTGCCCCTACAGCCTGTTAGAGGCTACCCGGGGGATCTTTGTCTGTGTGTGTTATAGTTGCTGCTATTCGCTGCTAACAGCACTTGCCCCTACAGCTTGTTAAAGGCTACCTGGGGGACCTTTGTCTGTGTGTTATAGATGCTGGTACTAGCTACTACCAGCACTTGCCCCTACAGCCAGTTAGAGGCTACCCGGGGGATCTTTGTCTGTGTGTGTGTTATAGATGCTGCTACTTGCTACTAAAAGCACTTGCCCCTACAGCCTGTTAGAGGCTACCCGGGGGATCTTTGTCCGTGTGTTGTGTTATAGATGCTGCTACTCGCTACTAAAAGCACTTGCCCCTACATCCAGTTAGAGGCTACCCGGGGGACCTTTGTCTGTCTGATATAAATGCTGCTATTCGCTACTAATAGCACTTGCCCCTACAGCCTGTTAAAGGCTACCCGGGGGATCTTTGCCTGTGTGTGTGTGTTATAGATACTGCTAACCGCTACTAAAAGCACTTGCCCCTACAGCCTGTTAAAGGCTACCCGGGGGATCATTGTCTGTGTGTGTGTTATAGATGCTGCTACTCGCTACTAAAAGCACTTGCCCCTACAGCCAGTTAGAGGCTACCCGGGGGATCTTTGTCTGTGTGTGTGTGTTATAGATGCTGCTACTCGCTGCTAACAGCACTTGCCCCTACAGCTAGTTAGAAGCTACCCGGGGGACCTTTGTCTGTGTGTGTTATAGAAGCTGCTATTCGCTGCTAAAAGCACTTGCCCCTACAGCCAGTTAGAGGCTACCTGGGGGATCTTTGTCTGTCTTTGTTATAGATGCTGCTACTCGCTACTAAAAGCACTTGCCCCTACAGCCTGTTAGAGGCTACCCGGGGGATCTTTGTCTGTGTGTTGTGTTATAGATGCTGCTACTCGCTACTAAAAGCACTTGCCCCTACAGCCAGTTAGAGTCTACCCGGGGGATCTTTGCCTGTGTGTGTGTGTTATAGATGCTGCTACTCGCTGCTAAAAGCACTTGCCCCTACATCCAGTTAGAGGCTACCCGGGGGACCTTTGCCTGTGTCTGTTATAAATGCTGCTACTCGCTACTAATAGCACTTGCCCCTACAGCCTGTTAAAGGCTACCCGGGGGACCTTTGTCTGTCTCTGTGTGTGTGTTATAGATGCTGCTACTCGCTACTAAAAGCACTTGCCCCTACAGCCTGTTAGAGGCTACCCGGGGGATCTTTGTCTGTGTGTGTGTTATAGATGCTGCTACTCGCTGCTAACAGCACTTGCCCCTGCAGCCTGTTAGAGGCTACCCGGGGGATCTTTGTCTGTGTGTGTGTTATAGATGTTGCTACTCGCTGCTAACAGCACTTGCCCCTGCAGCCTGTTAGAGGCTACCCGGGGGATCTTTGTCTGTGTGTGTTATAGGTGCTGCTACTCGCTACTAAAACACTTGCCCCTACAGCCAGTTAGAAGCTACCCAGGGGACCTTTGTCTGTGTGTGTGTTATAGATGCTGCTACTCGCTACTAAAAGCACTTGCCCCTACAGCCTGTTAGAGGCTACCCGGGGGATCTTTGTCTGTGTGTGTTATAGATGCTGCTACTCGCTACTAAAACACTTGCCCCTACAGCCAGTTAGAGGCTACCCGGGGGACCTTTGTCTGTGTGTGTGTGTTATAGATGCTGCTACTCGCTTCTAAAACACTTGCCCCTACAGCCTGTTAGAGGCTACCCGGGGGACCTTTGTCTGTGTGTGTGTGTTATAGATGCTGCTACTCGCTTCTAAAACACTTGCCCCTACAGCCTGTTAGAGGCTACACGGGGGACCTTTGCCTGTGTGTGTTATAGATGCTGCTACTCGCTACTAAAAGCACTTGCCCCTACAGCCCGTTAGAGGCTACCTGGGGGACCTTTGCCTGTGTGCGTGTGTAATATAAATAAATAGCATAATCTTGGTTCTTTCGGTAAAGTCACCACCGCGTAGAAGGGAAACAATAAAATAATAAAAATATAAAACAATGGAATTCTCACGACGTTTTGACTGCAACACAAGCAAGCAGTCATCATCAGGTGCGGTTTTAAATCAAAATAAAAAAATAAAAATCACGATACTCGTGGGTTCTTGCGGCAAAGTCACGTGGGTATAAACTAAAATAAATCATGGCGGTCGTCAGCAGGCAGTTCAAAATTTTTTTGATAATCAATCAGCGGAACAGCTGAACAGTGATTCATTTTATTTTAGGAGTAGGTTTTACCCTTTTTAACTGGCACAAAAACTGACACCTTTATTCAAGGCATCGTGTTTGCAATAACCACAGCACAAGCAGTCAAAATGCAAACAAAAGAGACAACTCTGATAATAAAACAAAAAGACAACTCTGATAATAATTAATAATTATTATAATTAATAATTATTATAATTAATAATTATTTATTATAATTAATAATAATTATTATCAAAATGCAAACAAAAGAGACAACTCTGATAATAAAACAAAAGACAACTCTGATAATAGTTAATAATAATTATTATTATTATAATTAATAATAATTATTATCAAAATGCAAACAAAAGAGACAACTCTGATAATAAAACAAAAAGACAACTCTGATAATAATTAATAATAATAATTATAATTAATAATAATTATTATCAAAATGCAAACAAAAGAGACAACTCTGATAATAAAACAAAAAGACAACTCTGATAATAATTAATAATAATAATAATTATTATAATTAATAATTATTATTATAATTAATAATTATTATTATTATCAAAATGCAAACAAAAGAGACAACTCTGATAATAAAACTAAAAGACAACTCTGATAATAATTAATAATAATTATTATTAATTAATGATAATTATTATAATTAATAATAATTATTATCAAAATGCAAACAAAAGCGACAACTCTGATAATAAAACAAAAAGACAACTCTGATAATAATTAATAATAATATTATTAATTATAATAATAATTTATAATAATTATTATAATTAATAATTATTATAATTAATAATAATAATTATTATATATAATAATTATTATAATTAATAATAATTATTATAATTATTATAATTAATAATAATTATTATTATCAGAGTTGTCTTTTTTTGTTTGCATTTTGACTGCTTGTGCTGTGGTTATTGCAAATATGATGCCTTGAATAAAGGTGTCAGTTTTTGTGCCAGTTAAAAAGGGTAAAACCTACTGCTATATCTTGTTACTGGCAAAGGAGGTCTCATAATGTAAATGCTCACTTTATTTTCTCGTCCACCCCACGTGGCTTTACCGAAAGAACCAAGAGTGTGACTCGCTGCAGTCACGAAAGCCTTGAATAAAAATCTAAATAAATATCGCTTGCCTTCCTGCCCTCAGCTCGCTGCCTCGAGGACAGTGGCGCAGGAGCATGAGGAGGAGGAGCTACAGCAAGCATGGGAGGAGCCTGGAGCACGGCAGGCGGAGCCGACACACGGAGGAGCGTCGCTCTCACGGAGGGAGGCGTCTTCGAAATGCAAAAGCGGCGATTCCGAGCAGCAGCAGCAGCAGCAGGAGGAGGATGAGGATGAGGATGAGCAGGGATCTTCGACGCAGCAGCAGCAGCAGCACCGGCGGCGGCGGCGTGGGCGGCGCATTGGCGAGATGGGGGAGCGGGAGGCTTCTGTCGGGCGTCGCGCGGAAGGGCCGAGAAACCGGGAGTCTTCAGCGCAGCAGCAGCAGCAGGAAACTTTGGTCCAGCGGAGCAGAGAGGAGCTAAGAGACCGGGAGTCTTCAGTGAAAGAACAGGAAGCTTTGGTCCAGCGGAGCAGAGAGGAGCTGAGAGACCGGGAATCTTCAGTGAAAGAACAGGAAGCTTCGGTCCAGCGGAGCAGAGAAGAGCTGAGAGACCGGGAGTCTTCAGTGAAAGAACTGGAAGTTTTGGTTCAGAGGAGAAGAGAGGAGCTAAGAGACCGGGACTCTTCAGCGCAGCAGCAGCAGGAAGCTTTGGTCCAGCGGAGCAGAGAGGAGCTGAGAGACCGGGAATCTTGGCTACAGGAACAGGAAGCTTTGGTTCAGAGGAGAAGAGAGGAGCTAAGAGACCGGGAATCTTTGGTGAAGGAGCGGGAAGCTTCGGTCCAGCGGAGCAGAGAGGAGCTAAGAGACCGGGAATCCTGGCTACAGGAACAGGAAGCTTCGGTCCAGCGGAGCAGAGAGGAGCTGAGAGACCGGGAGTCTTCGCTACAGCAGCAGGAAGCTTTGGTCCAGCGGAGCAGAGAGGAGCTGAGAGACCGGGAGTCTTCGGTGAAGGAACTGGATCCCTTGATTCAGCAACGGAGAGAGGAGCTAAGAGACCGGGAGTCTTCAGTGAAAGAACAGGAAGCTTTGGTTCAGAGGAGAAGAGCGGAGCTAAGAGACCGGGAGTCTTCGCTACAGGAACAGGAAGCTTCGGTCCAGCGGAGCAGAGAGGAGCTAAGGGACCGGGAATCTTCAGTAAAGGAACAGGAAGCTTTGGTTCATCGGAGCAGAGAGGAGCTGAGAGACCGGGAGTCTTCGGTAAAGGAACAGGAAGCTTTGGTTCATCGGAGCAGAGAGGAGTTGAGAGACCGGGAATCTTCAGTGAAAGAACAGGAAGCTTCGGTTCAGCGGAGCAGAGAGGAGTTGAGAGACCGGGAGTCTTCGGTAAAGGAGCAGGAAGCTTCGATTCAGCGGAGCAGAGAGGAGTTGAGAGGCCGGGAGTCTTCGGTGAAAGAACTGGATCCCTTGATTCAGCGGAGCAGAGAGGAGCTGAGAGACCGGGAATCTTCAGTGAAAGAACAGGAGGCTTTGGTTCATCGGAGCAGAGAGGAGCTAAGAGACCGGGAGTCTTCGCTACAGGAACAGGAAGCTTCGGTTCAGCGGAGCAGAGAGGAGTTGAGAGGCCGGGAGTCTTCGGTAAAGGAGCGGGAAGCTGCGGTCCAGCGGAGCAGAGAGGAGCTGAGTGAACTTGAAGCTTTCCTCCGAAGGCACGAGGAGGAGCTGGATGATCGTGAGTCTCTGGTGCGGCAGAGGGAGGCCTCCGTTCAGCGGCGCGTGGAGGAGCTCGCCCGCCGGGAGCAGGAGGCGGTGGAGGCTGTTGCGGAGGCGGAGGAGCTCCGGCGGGAGAGGGGATGCGGGCAGAGGGAGGATCTGTCCCGCGTCTCCCGTGACCTGGAGCTCGCGCAGGCCCAGGTGGAGGCCCTCAAGGTGCGGGGACGGAGAGTGAGCGAGCGAGGGAGTGAGCGAGCGAGGGAGTGAGCGAGTGGGCGAATGAGCGGGTGAGTGAGCGAGAGAGTGAGAGAGTGAGATAGTGAGGGAGCGAGTGAGCGAGAGAGCGAGAGTGCGAGCGAGCAAGTGAGAGAGTGAGATAGTGAGGGAGTGAGTGAGCGAGAGAGTGAGCGAGAGAGAGTGAGAGAGAGAGAGAGCGAGTGAGCGAGCGAGCAAGTGAGAGAGTGAGATAGTGAGTGAGAGAGTGAGATAGCGAGTGAGCGAGTGGGCGAATGAGCGAGTGAGTGAGCGAGTGAGCGAGAGAGCGAGCGAGCGAGCGAGCGAGCGAGTGAGAGAGTGAGATAGTGAGGGAGCGAGAGTGTTAGAGAGAGAATGAGGGAGTGAGTGAGATAGTGAGGGAGCGAGAGAGTGAGCGAGCAAGTGAGAGAGAGAGATAGTGAGAGAGTGGGGCTGAGTTTGATTGATGCTGATTGGCTGTGGCTCTGTTATCATCCACTCAGTGGGGCTGAGTTTGATTGATGCTGATTGGCTGTGGCTCTGCTATCATCCAATCAGTGGGGCTGAGTTTGATTAATGCTGATTGGCTGTTGGCTCTGCTATCATCCACTCAGTGGGGCTGAGTTTGATTGATGCTGATTGGCTGTGGCTCTGCTGTAATCCACTCAGTGGGGCTGAGTTTGATTGATGCTGATTGGCTGTTGGCGCTGCTATCATCCAATCAGTGGGGCTGAGTTTGATTGATGCTGATTGGCTGTTGGCGCTGCTATCATCCACTCAGTGGGGCTGAGTTTGATTGATGCTGATTGGCTGTTGGCTCTGCTGTGATCCACTTAGTGGGCTGAGTTAGATTCATGCTGATTGGCTGTGGCTCTGTTTTCATCCACTTAGTGGGGCTGAGTTTGATTGATGCTGATTGGCTGTTGGCGCTGCTATCATCCAATCAGTGGGGCTGAGTTTGATTGATGCTGATTGGCTGTGGCTCTGTTGTCATCCACTCAGTGGGGCTGAGTTTGATCGATGCTGATTGGCTGTGGCTCTGCTATCATCCAATCAGTGGGGCTGAGTTTGATTAATGCTGATTGGCTGTTGGCTCTGCTATCATCCACTCAGTGGGGCTGAGTTTGATTGATGCTGATTGGCTGTGGCTCTGCTGTGATCGACTCAGTGGGGCTGAGTTTGATTGATGCTGATTGGCTGTTGGCGCTGCTATCATCCAATCAGTGGGGCTGAGTTTGATTGATGCTGATTGGCTGTGGCTCTGCTGTGATCGACTCAGTGGGGCTGAGTTTGATTGATGCTGATTGGCTGTTGGCGCTGCTATCATCCAATCAGTGGGGCTGAGTTTGATTGATGCTGATTGGCTGTGGCTCTGTTGTCATACACTCAGTGGGGCTGAGTTTGATTGATGCTGATTGGCTGTGGCTCTGTTATCATCCAATTAGTGGGGCTGAGTTTGATTGATGCTGATTGGCTGTGGCTCTGCTGTCATCCACTCAGTGGGGCTGAGTTTGATTGATGCTGATTGGCTGTGGCTCTGCTGTGATCCACTCAGTGGGGCTGAGTTTGATTGATGCTGATTGGCTGTGGCTCTGCTATCATCCACTCAGTGGGGCTGAGTTTGATTGATGCTGATTGGCTGTGGCTCTGCTGTGATCCACTCAGTGGGGCTGAGTTAGATTCATGCTGATTGGCTGTGGCTCTGATATCATCCACTTAGTGGGGCTGAGTTAGATTGATGCTGATTGGCTGTGGCTCTGTTGTCATCCAATCAGTGGGGCTGAGTTTGATTGATGCTGATTGGCTGTGGCTCTGTTGTCATTCACTCAGTGGGGCAGAGTTTGATTGATGCTGATTGGCTGTTGGCTCTGATATCATCCACTTAGTGGGGCTGAGTTTGATTGATGCTGATTGGCTGTGGCTCTGTTGTCATCCACTCAGTGGGGCTGAGTTTGATTGATGCTGACTGGCTGTGGCTCTGCTATCATCCACTCAGTGGGGCTGAGTTTGATTGATGCTGATTGGCTGTTGGCGCTGCTATCATCCACTCATTGGGGCTGAGTTTGATTGATGCTGATTGGCTGTTGGCGCTGCTATCATCCACTCAGGACGGGAGCCAGGGAATTGTCATCATCACCGCTCACCCGCTCGCTCGCCCGCTCGCTCGCTCGCCCGCTCGTCAGCATTTGTCCTCGGTCGAAGGAGTAGCAAGTTGATATCGTCGGTTCAGCTTCATCTTGAGCGACTCGTCATCCGTTCAGAGGCACTGACGTCCACGGCAAACGGTCCAACTTTCATGGCGACTCCAACCCCGCTTTCGTGCTCTCCTTCTGCCGGCGGTCAGGCCCAGGTGTCCGACGGGGAGGGCGCCCAGGCCAAGGTTGTCCGCCTGCTGAGGCTGGAGGTGGAGCAGCTGAGGAGGACGGAGCAGCAGAGGGCGGTGGATTCCACGGTGGGGGCAGTTGAGTGGAGCGTTTCACCGCCCCCGCGTGCCCGCTGAGTGCTCCGGCGCCCGCCTCCTTGGCGGTTGCCGGTCGGTAAACGTTGAGGCCGGCAGCGGTGATGGTGGTAGTTGCCGGGCGGTAAACGTTGTGGCCGGCGGCGGTGATGGTGGTGGTTGCCGGGCGGTAAACGTTGTGGCCGGCGACGGTGATGGTGGTGGTTGCCGGGCGGTAAACGTTGTGGCCGGCGGCGGTGATGGTGGTGGTTGCCGGGCGGTAAACGTTGCGGTGGCGGTGGCTGCGTAGGGTGCAAAGGCTTCATGAACTAAGTGGTCAAAATAGATGTTCAATCATCTTGATTTGAGGCTTTGGTGACTGCGTTAATCCATGCTCTGTGGTTCTGTTGGTAAAATCACCGCGCGGGTAGAAAGAGTTGACAGATCACGGTTTTTACGATCGCAACAACCAGCGAGCGTCTTCAGGTGAGAGAGTCAGGGTGCACATAGCCTGGCACAAGCGTTGTGGTGACGTCACCACCACTTAGTGGTGAATGGCGGTTGTTGTTGTCTCTGTGTGTATCTGTGTGTGTGTGTCTGTGTGTGTGTGTCTGTGTGTGTGTCTGTGTGTGTGTATGTGTGTCTGTGTGTGTGTGACTGTGTGTGTGTGTGTCCGTGTGTGTGTCTGTGTGTGTGTGTGTATCTGTGTGTGTGTCTCTGTGTGTATGTGTGTGTCTGTGTGTGTGTCTCTGGGTCTGTGTGTGTGTCTCTGGGTCTGTGTGTCTCTGTGTGTGTCTGTGTGTGTGTGTCTGTGTGTGTGTGTGTGTGTCTGTGTGTGTGTCTCTGTGTGTGCGTGTCTGTGTGTGTGTGTCTCTGTGTGTATCTGTGTGTGTGTCTGTGTGTCTGTGTGTAAGATCTTTGTGTGTGTGTGTGTGCAAGAGCTCCACTCTGGCATCCCAGGCGGAGGAGCTTCTCAAGACGTTTCGGCTCCAGGCCCAGCAGGAGGTGGAGCAGCTGCAGCTGCTTCTGCAGGAGAAGACCCTCGCCCTGAGCGTCTCCGTGCAGCTCAAGGACAAATACCTACAGCAGGCGAGCCCTCCGCCGCCTACCTACACACACACCTACACACCTACACACACACCTACACAAAACACCTACACACCTACACACACACCTACACAACTACACACACACCTACACACCTACACACCTACATACACACCTACACACCTACACACACACCTACACACACACCTACACACACACCTACACACACACCTACACACCTACACACACACCTACACACACACCTACACACCTACACACCTACACACCTACACACACCTACACAACTACACACCTACACACACACCTACACACACCTACACACACACCTACACACACACCTACAAACACACCTACACACCTACACACACACCTACACACCTACACACACCTACACACACACCTACATAACACCTACACACCTACACACCTACACACATACCTACACACCTACACACACACCTACACACCTACACACCTACACACACACCTACACACACCTACCCACCTACACACACACCTACACACCTACACACCTACACACACACCTACACACCTACACACACCTACACACCTACACACCTAAACACCTACACGCACACCTACACACCTATACACACACCTACACACCTACACACCTACATACACACCTACACACCTACACACACACCTACACACCTACACACCTACACACCTACATACACACCTACACACCTACACACACACCTACACACCTACACACCTACACACACACTTACACAACTACACACCTAAACACCTACACACACACCTACACACCTACACACCTATACACACACCTACACACACCTACACACCTACATACACACCTTCACACCTACACACCTACATACACACCTACACACCTACACACCTACATACACACCTACACACCTACATACACACCTACACACACCTACACAACTACACACCTACACACACACCTACACACACCTACACACACACCTACACACACACCTACACACCTACATACACACCTACACACCTACACACACACCTACACAACTACACACCTACACAACTACACACCTACACACCTACACACACACCTACACACCTACACATCTACACACACACCTACACACACACCTACACACCTACATACACCCCTACACACCTACACACCTACACACACACCTACACAACTACACACCTACACAACTACACACCTACACACCTACACACACACCTACACACCTACACACCTACACACACATCTACACACACACCTACACACCTACATACACACCTACACACCTACACACCTACACACACACCTACACAACTACACACCTACACAACTACACACCTACACACCTACACACACACCTACACACCTACACACCTACACACACACCTACACACACCTACACAACTACACACCTACACACACACCTACACACACCTACACACACACCTACACACACACCTACACACCTACACACACACCTACACACCTACACACACACCTACACACCTACACACCTACACAACTACACACCTACACACACACCTACACACACACCTACACACCTACACACCTACACACTTACACACCTACACACACACCTACATACACACCTACACACCTACACACACACCTACACACCTACACACCTACACACACACCTACACACACCTACACACCTACACACCTACACACACACCTACATACACACCTACACACCTACACACACACCTACACACCTACACACCTACACACCTATACACACACCTACACACCTACATACACACCTACACACCTAGATACACACCTACACACCTACACACACACCTACACAACTACACACCTACACACACAACTACACACCTACACACACCTACACACCTACACACCTACACACCTACACACACACCTACACACCTACACACCTGCACACCTACACACACACCTACACACGTACACACACCTACACACCTACACACACCTACACACACACCTACACACCTACACACCTGCACACCTACACACCTACACACCTACACACACCTACACACACCTACACACCTACACACACCTACACACCTACATACACATCTAGACACCTAAACACCTACACGCACACCTACACACCTACACACACACCTACACACACACCTACACACCTACATACACCCCTATACACCTACACACCTACATACACACCTACACACACCTACACACCTACACACACACCTACACACCTACATACACACCTACACACACACCTACACACCTACATACACACCTACACACCTACATACACACCTACACACACACCTACACACCTACACACACCTACACACCTACATACACACCTACACACCTACATACACACCTACACACACCCACACACACACCTACACATCTACACACACCTACACACCTACACACCTACACACATACACACACCTACACACACACCAACACACCTACACACCTACACACACACCTACACAACTACACACCTACACACCTACACACCTACATACACACCTACACACCTACACACACACCTACACACACACCTACACACACACCTACACACCTACACACACACCAACACACCTACACACACCTACACACACACCTACACACCTACACACACACCTACACACACACCTACACACCTACACACACACCTACACACCTACACACCTACATACACACCTACACACACCTACACACACACCTACACACCTACACACACACACCTACACACCTACACACATACACACACACCTACACACCTACACACCTACACACCTACATACACACCTACACACACACCTACACATACACCTACACACACACCTACACACCTACACACACACCAACACACCTACACACACACCTACACACACACCTACACACACCTACACACACCTACACACACACCTACACACCTACACACACACCTACACACACACCTACACACACACCTACACACCTACACACCTACATACACACCTACACACACACCTACACACACACCTACACACACACACCTACACACCTACACACATACACACATACACACACCTACACAACTACACACACACCTACACAACTACACACACCTACACAACTACACACCTACACACACACCTACACACCTACACACACACACCTACACACCTACACACATACACACACACCTACACACCTACACACCTACACACCTACATACACACCTACACACACACCTACACATACACCTACACACACACCTACACACCTACACACACACCAACACACCTACACACACACCTACACACACACCTACACACACCTACACACACCTACACACACACCTACACACCTACACACACACCTACACACACACCTACACACCTACACACACACCTACACACCTACACACCTACATACACACCTACACACACACCTACACACACACCTACACACACACACCTACACACATACACACATACACACACCTACACAACTACACACACACCTACACAACTACACACACCTACACAACTACACAACTACACACACACCTACACAACTACACAACAACACACCTACACAACTACACACACACCTACACACACCTACACAACTACACACCTACACACCTACACACACACCTACACACACACCTACACACACACCTACAAAACAAAGATCCCCCATATAGCCTTAACAGACTGTAGGGGCAAGTGCTATTAGCGAGCACCTATTGAGGACGGAACGGTACACGAGGGGGTGGGTGGCCAGCACCACGCCCGACCGCCTTTGTCTCCCTAGTGGCAATGTTTACACACTGTACCAGGTACTCATTTGAGGCTAAGTCGACCTAGGGGAGGCCTGGGACCGGTTCAGATAATCGTCACTGGTGTTGGTCGTGAGCGGGAATCGAACCCGGGTCGCCAGGTTCATAGCGCAGCGTAGCGCTAACCACTACACTATCGCTCCCCGCACCTACACACACACCTACACACACACCTACACACACACCTACACACACACCTACACACACACCTACACACACACCTACACACCTGGGAGCTGTAGTGTAGCGGTTAGCGCGCTGTGCTATGAACCTGGCGACCCGGGTTCGATTCCCGCTCACGGCCTACACACACACAAAGATCCCCCATATAGCCTTAACAGACTGTAGGGGCAAGTGCTGTTAGCGAGCACCTATGAAGGCCGAACGGTACACGAGGGGGTGGGTGGCCAGCACCACGCCCGACCGCCTTTGTCTCCCTAGTGGCAATGTTTAAACACCGCACCAGGTACTCATTTGAGGCTGAGTCGACCTAGGGGAGGCCCGGGACCGGTTAAGATAATCGTCACTGGGGTTGGCCGTGAGCGGGAATCGAACCTGGGTCGCCAGGTTCATAGCACAGCGCGCTAACCGCTACACTACAGCTCCCCACACACCTACACACACACCTACACACCTACAGACCTACACACACCTACACACCTACACACACACCTACAACAACAACAACCGCCATTCGCCACTAAGTGGCAGTGACGTCACCACGACGCTTGTGCCAGGCTATGTGCACCCTGAGGCCACGTGAAGTGTCGAACACCCGCTGGCAGGTCACAGGGCAGACCCAGGTTGTCACGGGTCGACTGACTGAGATGACTGGCTGATGCACCACCTGTGCCCTCTACTGTGCCAACCTGCTGTGCTTTAGCCACCCGGTGCTCCGCTCGTTGTTTTGAGCGTCGCTCCTCCGCCCTCCGTTGTTGTTGGAGGGCGACTGCCTCCAACTGCCCAGTAGCGTCCTTCACGAGCCTCCTCCACAGAGGCCGATCTTGACACCGCTGGTACCAGTCATCAGCAAGTCCACTCAGCTCCACGTCCTTCTGCACCACATCACTCCATCTCTTCTCTAGCCCATGCCGCGCCCGTTTAGCCCCCTCAATCTGGCCGAACAAAAGCTGCTTCGGCATGCGGTGGCTGGGCATGTGGGCTACATGACCCAGCCATCGCAGC